CTCAAGTAGACCCTCGCCGTTCCTTCCGTCCCGGATAACATGCAGGGGACTGGATGAACGGTCCACACCGTGACGGCGACCATGGACAGCGTCACCAAACAACTGAATACGTTCCTTCTGTGATTCTTCTTGCCGTGTCGGACAGCTGAGTCTCTGTGAATTCCACAGGTACTAGGACAGAGATAACGAATTGTGCTTATTTACCTTGGCCTCATCGCCCGAGTTTGGCCAATGTCCAGTGGCGATCACTCACAACTTTTCATACGTAGCTCGCCGCATCCGCGAGGAACTGCGTTCAAGTTTACCAATCGCGTTTGCTCTGAAGAAGTTTCTGCTTGATTGTGATGATGACCATCGGAGTACGCATGGGAACTTATTACTCAAGATGGCTGCCCTGACTTGGGGAAGTTTGAAAGAAGCTTCGACGACCTTCTGGTCTTCGTATTTTCGCGTATAACGAGCCTTTTCGGAAGAGAGGCCGATCCATGGCGAGTATGTCGAACCCGATAAGCAGGCGCCTCAAGGGTCGATTGACATTCTCATGAGCATCAGTCCAATCTCTCATCGAGTTAGGATATATTCATATGCTGAGCAAAGTTCATGCGGATGAGTCGCAGTTGCATCACGACCAATGGACGTGGCCAGGACAGATTCAGGGTTAGCTTTATACACAATAGTTATTGTGGGCGCCCAGCATTCGGGTTTGTCACCACATTAAATTTTGAGCCATGAGCAGACTCGGGTCACTGACTTCGACTCACTGCAAATAAGTATGGGTGCCTACAGTAACAGAATATGCATACGTTTGTCATTGGGTAATACCAAGCGTGCCTGTGGGAACAGGAGCATTCGTGGTAGCTTGGAAGTTAACGTTAACTGGATTCAATCTTACCGTGAACTGAGAACTTTGAACTGAGTGTGTCGTCACTGTGGTGTACAAAGTGAACAAGGAATGTTGTCAATGTCAGGCTTAGACTATGTCAGCAGGGATTTCTAAATCAGGCAATTTTTCTGAGCCGGTCTGCCAAAGATAAAACAAAAGTGTGTTCAGTGCTACCCTTTTGTCACATCCATAAGTGCACCCTTCGGGGTTGCACACGATAAAATTGGAACGATACAGAGAAGATTAGCATGGCCCCTGCACAAGGATGACACGCTTTTCCGGAGTGGTAGACCTACGGGTCTCAATATTTATTCTTTTTTTTTGCTACAAATTTTACTGATCCCAAGATCTACGTTCTGCTATGCACATGATACAATACATCGACGGTGAATCTACGACGGTACGTCCTGCGTCAAACTTCAAGCACGATGTTTGTCCGAGTCACGGCGGCTTCCGAATCCCAAATGATGGACCTAGGTGGAACACGAGGCATGTGGGACAAGCTGGCATTGCGGACCAAATCAACCCGATTTGTTACAAAACACGGCGTGGTTTGAACCAGAAGTCTCTCCGAACAGGCCCCAACTTTAAGGCAGCCGCTGAGCTTGTACGTCAGTCGTCCTCTTAGACCCTCACCCGCCCGCGTCGATTTCAAGCAAATCAGTTTCCCATTGCACTTAACCCAAAGGGAAAGCCATTGCGTTCATCCGGATGGATATGAAAGCTAGGTGAGTAAGAAAGTGCTCAAATTTGGACGAAGCGCTCACGAAGTACGCTTTAGGGTCGTCGACCTATGGAAGGAAGATTACCATCGGGCAACCATGTCCGGATCCTAGGCCCATCTCTTTTCCATCTCGTGACAGCATCGCAATCTAGTCATGTTGGCGTCGTGTGTTCCATGTTACGTATTGTATGTCATCGTCAGTATGCATCGGAGCTGGGTGAGTAAGAAAGTGCTCAGATTTTGGACGAGGTAGTCACGACGTCCGATCTATGTGGGACGGACGGCTCGGATGCGGAGCTTTGCCCATTCAAGGCCGGATATATGTGAGCAAGCTCTACTGAGCATGATCATGATGCACGTCCAGGTGGTCCGCCAGAGCCGAAGTGCACCGCGCGAAGGGCAATTCGCGAGCGAGTTGAAACATCCATGTTGACAAGCGATGTCCTGTCAATCTCAACATGTCAGTATGTACTTATAGATGAAACTCACCAAGGGAAACGTTGTCGGATGTGCAGTGAAAATGTTCGCCGAGATGTCGGCTGAAAACGTTGCCATTCAGGAGCGGATCAAGGCACCCGGAAATACTCTGGAGGGCCAAGTGTCAGCCAGGCTGTACGATAAGTTGCGGTGAGAATAGATACAGATGACTGTCCTCCGTTAGTAGAAGGAGTTGGGACACTGGCGACTCTGGTTCATAATGGATGGCTGACGTTTTCCTGTCGAGAATTGTGACCAATGTCGGAATGATTACTGTGTTTGTATGAAAGAAATGCCATATGGATCGAGGGACAGGTGCGATAAATTTGCAGATCTCCAGGTCGACCTCGCAGAATGATCGTGCTTTCATCAAAGAATACCCATGATAACATCAAGAGCGGATAGTACGTTTGTAGGTCTCCCGTTTTTAAACAAGTTGCATGGCTCCCGAGTAATTGTTTGGCAAGACTGGCGGCGGCGGCCCGGACCACCCCTTCATTCGTCAATGGTGTCATTCGTACAGTGGCAATCAATAGGCCTTGTGAGCCTGAGTTCGGGGTGTCGATGCCGCTACACATACGAACATGTTCGGAATGACTGAGCCACCGATACCGATCAGAAAATCCGAGTTGCAGCGAGTATAAGCCTCGCTGGGAAGTCCGGGAAAGCCTATGCAGACGAGGGTATCAAAGCCTTGAGTTAAGGACGGGATTGAGGACCGAAAGAACTGCGTCCACTCTTCAACGGACAACTATCATACACACCTGAGATGTCTGAAGGCACGAAGTGATTTGACGCTTATGACGTCAAAATTTGCATCGGAAATCACTCTCAAATGTTGATTGCTCGCGTTCAACTCTCAATGGTCTCGAAAGGAGTATTCGGAGATACAGGCGTTACGGTATGCGTGTGGTGTGGACTTACGTAGAACACAAACTCGGATTGCCTGACAAAAGTCAATTGTAATGGTTCTTACTGGTGCTGGAATGTTCCTAGAAGTAACCACATCGCGGTCATGTCGAGCGTGGCAGTCTGGGAGTTGCTTGAGGGAACGTTGGAAACTACGTAGCTTCCGATATGATTCGAGGAAGACAAACAACAAAGACAAACTTCTGCTTTGTCACATATGCAAACTGCTGTAAGCACTCCACAGCGTCCACGCAAAGTACTCGATTGGCGCATCCTATCATACCACACGGGATTCAGAGGTGTGTACCCATCGTGTTACCCTGCAACTCAATAATTGTACTACCAAAATATGGGATATCGTCAGGCCTAGTAACTTCAGGCGAGACTCAACGTCATAAGGAGTGCATAGCGACTGGTGCTCTTCACTGGAATCCAGCAAGTCGCTAATGCGCGCATTTGGCCAGGGAAGTGTGGTGCAACTCAGGAATTGACTCGAAAGGAATACGTTCAAGCATTTGTTCTCTTGGTCAGAGAGACCTTCTGGTGCGTATGCTGATCTTTGAAGGAAGTGGGCAAACGGCAATAAGTACAGAGATATCTACAGCGAACGTGAAGAACGAAGCTATCCACAGGTGTTACAAGATCCTTGAAAGCATAAAGCCAGAAACAAAGAAAATCAAGAGACAGACCTCACAAACCTCATCGCATGCTCATAACCGTGCCCTCTTCGCCACCCTTCCTTCCTTCTCGTTCTTACCCAACTCGGACGATTCCTTCCCAGTACCACCACCATTGACATTCTTGCCCGTCTCTCGTTCGCCCCTGACCGCTCTCCGAAGAACGCTGGGTTTCTTCCCTTCCCCTGTTGACGCGCTAGAAAAAGCATCCTGCATTACTTTGCGCTCCTTCTCCATGCGAAGGATGTTTGCTTTTGTCACCGTGCGAGCAATGTGGGGTGGGATGCCGCCTCTAGGAGCCCTGGCGTATGTCACCGGCGAAGTGTTATCCGCTGCGGGCACGGAGGATATTTTTGGCCGTGACTTCGTGGTCTTCGCATAGGGAGTTGTGATCGTTTGATTGCGCACATTTGAGTTGGGTTGAAGACCGGATCCAGCACCCACTGGTTCAAGAATAGCACGTGTTAAATGCTGTATCAGTGGCCCTTGAGGTAGGCATTTCCGCGCAGGATCGTCGACTGCTTTATCGATTTTGCTTACAGCGGGGGCTTTCGGTTCTTCTTCGGATGGCGATGGCTGTACATGGCTGATTTCGGGTACCGCGAATGATTGTCCGATATTGCTGGCAGACTGTGTATTCGGGAGTTCAAGGCATGTTGCTAGCCAGGGCGAAACCCACTCGTCCTTCGATGAATGGGGGAGCACAAGATTAAGATTGTCGTCAAGATCAACGAATTGGGATCCGTTTGGGGGGGACCATCCTCGGAGCATCGATATGATTGGCGGCTTCATCTTGGTTTGGACCTGATCGTCGACGTGCGGGAGACTTGGAAGAAGTGCCAGCTCTCTAGAAAGGCTCGCGTTTGAATCGGGCGTAGGATACATGGAGATCGTTCGGCGTGGATCGACTCCTGGGAGATTGGGGTCGGGATTCATCGACGATGTGGATCTCGACAAGGGCAGAGGACATTCTTCGGCGTAGGGTGTGGGCACGATCGCAGCTAGTATGTCCTCCAATCCCGTCTCGCTGGATTCTTCGCATGGCCAGAGATGCGTGATCGTGCGAGTGAATTCACATTCTCTTGCAATGTCGAGGATGTCATCGAAGCCGAGGGTTGGGAGGAAGTCCTCGTCTGGACGGGAATCGGGACAGGGTATGCTGAGCGGGATGGGAGCAAAGTTACAATCCGAAAGCATGTTGACAACGAAGAAAAGGTGTGTGCGAAGTTCGAACGTGGAGGTTAGCCTCGAGTATGTATCATTTGTCAAGCCTATTTGTGTCAGCCACTAGATGTCGATATAGATTCGACTCATTGACCTCTTTCAATACGGCCTTATGGTCCAGAGGTACGATACTTGCTTTGGGTTTAACAAATTGCAAGTGACCTGGGTTCGATTCCCAGTGAGGCCCTTTTTTTTTGACATGATGTACTTCTGGAGTGTTATTCAAAGAACATGGTTTCTGTTATGAAAACGGCCACTACGTCGTTAATTTTGAATGGCCAAGTACATGTACTTGGCCCCGTTGACCGTTGACGAGCGGTGTGTGGTCGGCTAAAATTGAGATACGCCGGCGTGGGAAAGGTTTCTGGGCCCAAAGTTAGCCGCGTTATTAGGGCCCAGCGTTTTCCCTCGTCGCCATCCAGCTCACACTCGTCCGCCTCGTTCCTTCCCTCCTCCTTTTCCCCCCCGTTTTCCGCAGCGACGACGTCTCTCTCTGTTCCCTCTTCTTTTGAAACAGGTCTCGTCGTCGCCATCGACGTCCTCTTCCCATGAACAGGCAGTCCACAGGGATGAGCCTGCAGCGGCTCGAGGCCGTCACAGACCTCGCCACTATTTCACCCATCTCTGACGATGCTATCGTCACCTGCCTCCGCGAGCGCTTCATGTCGGATACAATTTACACTAGCGTCGGATCCTCTGCCCTCGTCGCCGTCAATCCTCACAAATATGTCTCCTCCAACGCCGACTCCCTGCTGCAAAAATATGCCACAGAATATCGGGATACGTCTGAGAACAAGACTCCACTACCTCCCCACGTTTTTCAGCTGGCGAACAACACCTACTACCACATGCGTCGCACCGCTCAAGACCAGTCCCTCATCATTAGGTATGAGACTATCCATAGCACAATTCGAACTTACAAACATTGACATATTCTTTAGTGGTGAAACTGGTAGCGGAAAGTCGGAAAACCGCCGGCTCGCCATCAAGACGCTCCTTGAGCTGTCCGTTTCCAATCCAGGAAAGAAAGGCGCCAAGCTCGCCAACCAAGTGCCCGCAGCGGAGTTCGTCATCGAGTCCTTCGGCAACGCGCGCACCCTCTTCAATCCAAATGCCTCACGCTTTGGAAAATACACCGAGCTTCAGTTCACCGACAAGGGGCGTCTGTGCGGCATCAAGTCGCTTGACTACTATCTCGAACGCAACCGGGTGGCGGCTGTGCCGTCTGGCGAACGCAATTTCCACATCTTCTATTATTTGATGGCTGGTGCATCGTCAGAAGAGCGTCAACATCTTCACCTCGCCGACAAGACTCAATACCGGTACCTCGGCCAGCGTGCTGGTGCTGGTGTTCGCCCCAATGGTGTCCGTGACGACGATGCCAACCGTTTTGAGCAGCTCAAGTTGGCACTCAAGTCCATCGGGTTGTCCAAGCGACATGTTGCACAGACATGTCAGCTCGTCGCTGCCATTCTCCATCTAGGCAACCTCGAATTTACCATTGATCGTGGTCGCGATGTTGATGCTGCCGTCGTCCGCAACATGGATCTGCTGGGAATTGTCGCCGAGTTCCTCGGCGTGCAGCCTTCCGCACTTGAGAGCACTCTCGCATACAAGACCAAACTCGTCAAGAAGGAGCTCTGCACTGTGTTCCTCGACCCCGATGGCGCATCGGACAATCGTGACGACCTCGCGAAGACACTCTATTCTCTCCTTTTTGCCTGGCTCAACGAACATATCAACCAGCGCCTCTGCCGTGACGACTTCGACACGTTTATCGGCCTTTTCGACATCCCTGGCCCCCAAAATATGACTAGCCGCCCAAATTCTCTCGACCAATTCTGCGTCAATTTCGCCAACGAACGCCTCCAAAGCTTCATCCAGAAGCGCATTTTCGAGTCACACGTTGATGAATATCAAACGGAAGGTATCTCTCGCCTTGTCCCTTCGGTGCCCTATTTCGACAACGCCGAGTGTGTTCGGCTTCTACAGAACAAGCCTGGAGGTCTTATTCATATCATGGACGACCAGGCTCGTAGATCGCATAAGAAGACGGACCATAGCATGGTGGAAGCATTCGCCAAGCGTTGGGGTAACCATTCGTCTTTCAAGGTTGGGGCCATCGATCGCTCTGGATATCCAACGTTCACCATCAATCACTTCAACGGTCCTGTCACCTATTCATCCGAGGGTTTCCTTGAGCGGAACCTTGATTCGCTTAACCCGGACTTCGTTTCTCTTCTCCGTGGCTCTGTCGCCGGCGCTTCAGACGGCACTGAAGGGGTTGGATCCATGAATCCCTTCGTCAAGAATATCTTCTCTGGGAAAGTGATTGCCACTCAGGCTCATCCCAAGAATGAAGATACGATCGTCGCCGCACAGCAGCCCGTAAAACCTATGCGTGCTCCCTCGACCCGTCGCAAAGGTACCGTCAAGCGAATGCCCACAGTTCGGGAGGGTGGTGCAGTCGAAGAACAAGATCGAGAAGAGGAAGATGCAGGCAACGCCTTTGCGGGTCTTTCGCCATGTGTAGCCGGCGAGTTCAGATCCGCCCTTGATACTTTGTTCGAAACGCTTGCGGACACTCAGTGTTGGTTCGTCTTTTGTGTCAATCCTAATGACTCGCAGCTGCCCAACCAACTGGAGGGGCGGAGCGTCAAAGGCCAGATCCGAAGCTTAGGTTTGACTGAAGTAGCGAAGAGAAATGTCAATGTTTTCGAGGTGGGATTGACTCCGGACGAATTCTGCGCTCGGTACAAGGAACCGCTGGCCAAGATTGGCGTTATGGATGGGTCAGCGAGAGAGAAGATTGAGCAGACGAGAAATGTTTTGGGTCTGGAGGAGACTGACATGGTTCTCGGCCAATACAAGGTACGTTCCAAGTGCCTGTTCGTCACTCAATGTTAAAATTCTTTGGTTCTTAGGTCTTCCTATCTCAAACCGCTTTCCATACACTCGAGGATCGCATTCGTGCCCTGGATGTTGAGGAGCAGAAACGAAACCGCCTCCGCGATGCAGAGGCAGAAGCCGGCATTGACGTTCGCTCAATAGGCGACCCATATGCTCCCTACGCATCACCAGGTCTTCCTCCCGATGATTACGCGGATCCTTTCAATCAGGTAGCCTCACAGGCGCACGCTCCTCTCGTCGACAACGCCTCACCTTTTCAACGTGGAGATATCTACGATGACGAATACGAGGACCGCAAATCGTTCCGTTCCGACGATTTCGACAACCGCAGTCGATTGACGTCCAACCGGGAGGAAACTACATCTAACTACGGTTCTGACTCCTACGCGCCATCTAGAAATATGTTCCAGAACGCGGATAAGCAAGGCCTGATTACTAAAGAAGCTTTGGCTGGTGAGATTATGGAGAATGAGACAACGGAAGTCATCAAGGAAACGTCGGCGCGTCGGCGCTGGGTTTTACTTTGCTGGCTCCTGACCTGGTGGATGCCGTCACCTTTCCTCAAGTGGTTTGGCCGAATGAAGCGTCAAGATATTCGGCAGGCGTGGAGGGAGAAACTTGCTCTCAACATGCTCATCTGGTTCATCTGCGCTTGTGCAATCTTTGTTATCGCAATTCTCGGCCTCGTCATCTGTCCCACGGAGCACGTCTTTAGTACGTCAGAGCTTGCAGCTCGTTCGTATGCGAATTCGCCAAACAGCGTCTACACCGCAATCCGTGGCGAGGTGTTCGACCTCACGCAAGTCGCTGCGACCCACCTGCGGGTCGTCACCGTTATTCCCGAGAAGACGATCTTGCAGTATGGTGGCGTGGATGCTACCAATCTGTTTCCTGTTCAGGTAAATCATTCACTTTTCTATCTCCCCAGTTTTCATCGTTTTGGCAGGTCAGCGCACTCTGCAATGGGGTTTCTGGCACGGTCAGTCCGTGGGTGCAGCTTACAGCGGCGAATACGACGGATCCCAATGCACAGTACCATGATTTCCGTGCAATTACCAACGACTCGCGTCCGGACTGGTACTTCGAGAGTATGACCGTTATGCGTTGGAATAACCGCGTTGGCTACATGGGCTACACCCCTGGAGCGATATCGAGCATGGCCGGTTCAGGGCACTCCCTCGGCATTTACGATGGTCTCATCTACGACATGACGAACTACATCAACTATGGTCCTGCTGTCCAGGGGCCATCCGGTCAACAGGCTCCCGGTGGTGTCGATGCTCAGTTCATGGACAGCTCCCTCGTCAATCTTTTCAAGATGAACTCCGGTCAGGACCTGACGAAGATGATCAATAATCTTAACATTGATTCCGGCACCCTCGCTGCGCAAAAGACGTGCCTCCGCAACCTTTTCCTCATCGGAATGGTGGACAACCGAAACTCGCCTCAATGCCTGTTCGCCGATTACATCTTGCTGGCGTTGTCGGTTATGATGGTCAGCATCATCGCGTTCAAGTTCATTGCATCGATCAACTTCGGCGCGCCTCGTGCCCCAGAGGATCATGACAAGTTCGTGATTTGCCAAGTCCCTTGTTACACGGAAGGAGAGGTCTCGTTGCGTCGCACAATTGACTCGCTCGCGCAGCTCAAGTATGACGACAAGCGCAAGCTAATTCTCGTCATCTGTGATGGTAACATTGTTGGTTCTGGAAATGATCGACCCACCCCTCGTATCGTGCTCGATATTGTTGGCGCAGACCCCAACCTCGATCCTGAACCACTGAGCTTCGTCTCTTTGGGCGAGGGGGCTCGTCAACACAACATGGGCAAGGTCTACTCTGGATTGTACGAGTGCGCTGGCCATGTCGTCCCGTATATGGTCGTCGTCAAGGTCGGTAAGCCAACGGAGAGATCGCGCCCTGGTAACCGTGGAAAGCGAGACTCTCAGATGGTCATCATGCACTTCTTGAATAAGGTGTGTATTTGCTTAGGGGGTGCGCATACAATCTGGTAGCTCACGTTTGTCGCTGTCATAGGTGCATTTCAACTCTCCGATGAACCCATTGGAGCTGGAGATGTATCATCAGGTCAAGAATGTAATCGGTGTTAACCCGACGTTCTATGAGTATTTATTCACGGTCGATGCCGATACCACGGTTGATGCATTCTCTTTGAACCGCCTGATTTCTGCGTATGTCATACCCTATATCCTATTTGGTTCTGACCCTCAGCTTCGTTTGCAGCATGGTTCACGACAAGAAGGTGCTTGGTGTTTGT